TTATTAATGGGCCATCCCCCGTCTATACCCATCGACAAGGCGATTAAAGCCGGGGCCAAACTTTGGGCGAGCTGTCAAAAGAAATATTTTAAATCATTTTTGGTCTACCCGGAAAATCCCGGCGTGGCCCATATATAATAATTTTGCCACTCTCCTTTTTCTTTTTTGTATTTTTTGTTATTTTTTTTAGGGCAGATGTGTTTTATTAAACATTTTCCGATAAGCAGACTGCACTGCATAAGCAGCGATTTATTGTATGCCTTTAACCATTTTTCCTTTTTAGGCTTTTAGGCCGAAGATTGCTTTGATGTTTTTGTTAGTGATGGGGTAGTAAAGGCTTTTAGGAAAATATAAATAAGACTTTTGGGAAAAAAATATACTAAGAGTTGAATTTAAAATGTTTATAAATATTTTTTGATATAAAGAAATCATTAATTAAACAATTTTTGTAAATATATAACACTTTGAATAACAATTTTTACATTTTCTGTAAAACAAACTCTACTTAAAGTCTTTATAAATATTTTTAAAACTAAAAATTAAGCTACAATTGCTCTTTAAATATTTTAAAATATTTTTATATCCACTAAAATATTTAATTTTTAATTTTTATCCTTAAATGTACCATCACTATCTAGTGCCCCTTTTGTGAAAAATGACTTCCACTTAGGCTGAGCCTTCTAGGGTGCTCCAATCTATATATGTATATATCCTGGAAAATACGTTGTGCGAGGCCGCAACTTGTTTTGCAATTAAACCCGGCACAAACGGAGCGACGAGCTACGGTTCCTGGTGCAACAGGTGCAGGCACGCATCACGTAGCCGCCCCATGGGCTTCGTGCGTGTTTTATTTATGGTATCGCCCACTTGCCTTGTACCTTTTACACCCTTTCAGCCCACCTACCACCCCTCAACTGTTAAGCAATAAGCAAATGAGCGAACAACGAACGAGCCAAGCGGCAGCAGCCAAAAAAGCCTCAAGAAAATGACGTTGCACGCACACGACGTTGAAAAGTCATTAAGTACAAATGACGTTGCTCACTGCAAAAAGCCCTTTGCAGGGGGTGTGGCAAGAGGAAGGCGGCTCAGGTTGGAGCCGTAATTGCAGCACGTTTGAGCGCAGCTAACTGCATATTGAGTAATGCCCGCGAGCGAACGACACAGGATCGGTATCGGGAGGGAGAAGGGTTGTGCCAGCACAGGGAGTCCTATGGCAGGGAAAGGACTCTTTAAAGGGTATGGAAGAAGCACTGGCACTGGCAGGCAGCGGTGACTGTTGCAACATTTGCCTTGCATTATTTATGACAAAGCCGGCACCAAATTAAGCCGCACTGGCACAGCCCAGGCAAGGCGAGAGTGTTGAAGGCATTGTCGAATGGGTTTGCCTGCAAAAGTGTGTCAGAACTTTAAAGGGGGTTTTTTTATAAGGGAATAGGTGGTTCTTTTGAATAAAAATATTAAGTAAATATAAACAAATATATAAATATAAATTTGTGTATAAAACTATATATATTTTGCAGCCTGTCAAAGTTTTTCTTATAAAGGAAGTTATATTTAGACTTTGCCTTTAATAAAATAATAATTATACCTAGACATTTTTAAGTATATTTTTTAAATAGTCTTTAGTTAGTTAATTATTTTTTTTATATATTAATAAATTAATTTTGTTTTAAGATTTAAAAATAAACCATTTTTCCTTACTTACTCCACGCAGTCATCCCTGAAGTTCTGGCAGCGCCTACTGCTGGCATCTCAGAGCCTCATGGTTTCAGAATCTCAGTCTCTGCCAGTGAGTGTGCGGCTAACTGCCTCCTCCTCCTCCTCCTCCTGCGAGTCCTGGCTTTTATTTACTTGATGTAATTTAATATTATGCCATGGCAACAATGGCGGTGACGTGCATCCACTGAAAGCATAAATAATCTGTTGCATGAACACATTGCGTGCCCAGGAAATAAAGGGGGAATGCTATCTGAGGACTTGACTCTTGCCTAATTAATTTGGGCTTTAAGCCAAACATGGGCGGCGACAATCGCTTTTGGTCAACTCGATTGGCCAACTGACACTTGTCGATAAAGCCGCTGGTCAGGCTTACGATTACGAGGTTGCCGGGAATCAATTAAGGTCCTTTCCGTGTTAATCGCGTCATATATCAAGCTCTCTCTCTCTCTCTCTCACTCTCTATTCCTATTTCGGGGGAATCCCCGCAGGGAGGCGAAAGCAATACCCGGATCTTGACAAAAAGGACCCCAAAAGGGTCGATGACAAGCAGCTAGCTGCTGAGAGGGGGGGTTGAAAAAAAAGGACAAATCAGCACGCGACATTTTTCGCGCCACGTTGTGTTGCTCCTGCTGCTCTTGTTTCTCCTGCCTTCATTTCGGGGTCTAATAAAGGACCAAAAAGCCAGCCAGAGCGGAGAACAAAAGGCGTGAAAGTCAACGAAACCCGAAGCCAAAGTGTTAAAGTACGATAAAAAGATTAGAGACAGTGCGACACACATACATCCTCAGGCAAATTGAGATAAAACACAGACAGGATATATAAAAGGGCACACAATTGGTAATAGAAAATCGGATCAGATTAGATTTAATGCGGCGACGGCTAATTTTTGGGTGATTTCTCATAGAAATACAAGGATCTCCATGGGTCCTCCTCCTTCCTAGCCAGGATTATGTATGCGCCGATCCCCCGTTTCAATCCTGGCGCCAAAAACGGAGGAGAGCTGTCAGCGGCAATACGCCGGCAATGACAGCTAAACAAATGACACAAATGCGGTGGATGTCAGTGGGCGTTTGGTGGGGGGGGGATGCTAGGCAGGACGACAACAGTCAGTCCCACACAAGGATATGCCAGAGCGAGCACCCTACGCCGAACGGCGAACGTCATCAACATTTCCGCTTCCGGCTGTTTATGCTAAAAGTATGGCGACAACAACGCCACTGAAGGGTGGGTGGTGGGTCCTTCCCCCCCACCTCCTGAAACGCTTAGGGGGAGGCAACCCGCTGAGCTGTCAGACGCCTTAACAGCCAGCGGATTTTTCTTTTTTCTGCCTCTGCTGCCGCTCTTTGTGATGAGGAGGCATCTATCATGTCGGCCCAGCCCCGAGTTTGGCATTTCCCGAATCAAATGCTAACTAAGGAGTGAAACCCAAACCCAAGGAAACTATTGATTAGGCAAAGGACTCGCTGTGATTCTAAGGAGGGAGGAGGAGTGTGTCCATGGGCATTTCATGGGCTTTAATGGCATTTATGGGACATTTTAGTTGGCAAAAGTTATAATAAGCTCCATGAGGATAAAAATAAAATTCAGAGAAACTACTCATAAATAAGAACTTATCATAAATACACATTATTACATTTATAAATAGGATTTAGAGGGAGTTAAGTAGGTTTTTTAGGGGATTTAGTTATAAGGGATATTAATAAAAATCCAAAAACTAAGTTCTTAGAAAGATTTATATCATTTTAATTATAGTTTGTGCTCAAAATATTTTCTTATTATTTATTTATTTAATATATTTTTATGTAATTTGTATTTAAAATTTATTTCCCCTTGTTTCCCCCCAATTTAAATGTTAATTAAACCCCTAAACACCGCTTAAATGTAAAGCAAATAAATCCGGAAGGTAAATTCTACAAAGCAATCGGTGGCAGGAGCCTCTAGCTTCAAGGAAGCTTTGGCTATCAATCACACTCACACACACACACAGCCACAGCAGACACAACAAGGAGATGAAATAATTATGCTTAGCTGGCATTCAGACGTTGCCATAGAGCAGCAGGTCCTTGGAGCGTCCTCCGGTTTCATTTACATGACGATGACATCTCTCCCTGCTTATAAATAATTACACACACGCACTGGCTGTGTGCCTTCGCATACATTTTGATATTTAATTTTTATGTTTTTGTTATCTGCCAGGTAAAATACAGCATTATTTTCTTTCTTTCTTTCTGCTTTTTCGCTGATTTTTACATATTTATGAGTTCAGGACGAATGTTCTGTTTTCCCTTGGGGAATAAATAAATCCGCGTGGAGGTAGGGTGTTTCAGAGTGGCATATCCTGGGGCCACATACTGTGTGTGTTCCCCCTAAAACTAATTGAAAACTAAAATGTCAATGGCAATCTCATCATCCGCCAGCCAGGATCATTCTATTCGACCAGGCATGCCAGTCACTCACGGACTCACACGCTGCCGCTCCAGGCTATCAAATCTGTGCTATAAATATGCCGGAATAAAAGCACTGAGAGAAATAATTGCTCATTTAAAATATTTTATAAGAAATAAGGATTCTTGAGAGTTTCTAAAAAGACATAAATAATGATAAGAATAAATAGAAGTTGGGTTTTAAAACTCTTAAAAGTACCTAAGAAATTTCCTAAGAACAATTTTCATGTTTCTTGATTATTTTTTTTACAAATTTTATAGCTTTTCCCTCTGTGTAGCATAGAGTCCATGCTGGCAGCCCCAGAGTTGGCAACTTCAACGCGGCTAAGCACATAAAACGCCTTTTCATTCGTAGAGCCCGTGAATTGTATCGCCGCCATGGCTGCTCCAGGCACCACCAGTCTATAGCTCTGACTGCAACTCCAGCTCCTGGGCTCTGGTCCATCTATGGTTCCACCACCACCTCTATAGCCTTGGCCATCTTCCTTCCAACCCGGCTTGATCCTAATGTGCTGCTGTCAGAGCCTGTCGACGTCAGGCGGACTCTGGCCGGCTATTTCGGGGATTAATGTCAATGTGAAAGGATTTTAGCCATGCATTGGAACTCCAAACAGAAGAGCCCTTCTCGGGTCCTAGTTCTGGCCACTCCGCCATGCCCATTCATAGTCATTCGTTGAAAGTTTAGCGGATTTTCTAAGGGAATCAAGTACTTTTGAAGGGGCAAAAGGTATTCCTGAATGTTTAATCAACTTTTAACAGTCTGATATCAATGAAAAGGTTAATATTAATTGGGCTTAAAATGTTTTTAAATTTTATATAGTTGGCCTTGATATTTGGTTCAACTTTAGTTGAAAATACAGCATAACATCCATCACAACACTCACCACAAAACAGAAAAACCTGTCAAATTATAATTTATAAAATTAAAACATCACCAAGATGGCCAAGGAAGAACTCCTTATGGAGGGCCCCAAGCGGCTCAATCACGAGCTGGCTTTGATGCTGGAGGATACCAAGAACCTGCAGTTCCGCAACTTAATGCCCGAGACGAATAACCTCTTCAAGTGGACGGCCCTGCTCATGCCAGAAACGCCGCCTTATGACAAGGGTGCCTTCAAGCTGGAGATTGACTTCCCGCAGGACTATCCCTTCAAGCCGCCGCGCTTTCACATCAACACAAAGATCTATCATCCGAATGTGAATGAACGCGGCCAGGTGTGCATGCCCATTCTGGAGGCGGAGCATTGGTTGCCCACGGCTCGCATTGACCAGGTGCTTATGGTGCTGCTGGCCACCATTAATACGCCGCAGGTGGAGAATGCCTGGAACATGGATATGGGCGGCGAGTATCTCAATGATCCAAAGAGATTCCAAAAAATGGCCGAGGCCTGGGTGCAGAAGTACGGTGAGCCAAGGCCCACGGAGCAGGAATTGGCCAAGTTTGCACGGAAGCGGAAGAAGATGATGGCCAAGAACTAGGGCCCGAGTCGAGACTACAAATAAATAATAGTAAAGTGAAAAACGAGAGTGTAACTTAATTATCCTTGAAGCTTACACAGGAATATGCCCGTAACTTTCTCTCCTTTCCGAAAAATCCTTTTGTTGGAACAAATTCCAAACCAAACACTATTAAAATCGTATTCGTTTCTTGTTTATTGCCGCAATCAACACCCCATTTATCGATACAAATAGTGTATATATTTGCAAGGATTCCTTAGAAGGATTCCTTCGATTGGGTTACCCGCTGTGCGGCGACTTAAATTGCCGGCGGATGTTTTGTTTTTGGCGTCTAATTGGAAGTTGGAGCCAGTACGAGAACCAGGACACTTCTGTTCCAGCCAGCTGCGAGATAAATCATCCGCCTCGGTGGCGCAAACAAGGCTGGGCAAGGACACACGCGGTGCAGCTCAGCGAGCGGGCGGCATTAGCTGCCAGTGTCATTGCCATTGTCAGCGGCATATCATCATCATCCGAATCCGAATCCGGCTACGCCTCCGCATCCAAGTCATCATCATCCTCGTTCGCATTCGCATTCGTATTCGTTTCCCTATTTGCTTTCCGTATCTGAATTCGCATCAGCATCAAAGTCCTGCTGCTGCTGCTGCTGCTGAACCGCTGAAAATCCGTGCTGTGTCCGGGGCCGTATAAATTTTAGCAATGAATGAATCAACTTTACGAACATCGAGGACACATGTGACTTGCTTTACGGCTAGGTCTCCCCCCCAGTCATTCGTCACAGTTGTGGCACTGAGAGAAAAACAGCAGAGGTTCTGTAAAGGTGACCTTAAAAATATTCAAAGTATAAAGTAAAGATAAACATATTTCCAAAAATTTTAATATTTTGCTCTTAAATATGAAACATATTTTCTTTTTATTTTTAACCTTAAGTTTTGTTTATCCTTTTCAAGGACTCTTTTGTATGCTAGTGTATGCGTTTTATGTGCCTGTGTGTTTTGGGCAGTTCACTTGATATGCTCGCTGGCTCTCTATCTGCTACCAACTTGGACTTGTCAATGGCAGGAGTGGGCACTGGAGGGTACGGGGGGAGAAGATGGTAGCCAGGACTTTCGGGTGATGGGTGATGGGAATAAGCTGCCACTATAATTACAGCAAAGGCCAAAGGCACACACAAACACACACACTCGCTGAGCCGGGGCTAAAGATATTTGTATCTAGTTTCTTTACTGCTGGATTTACTGCCCCATCGGATGACTAGAGGATGGAGGATGGAGGATGCTGTGTTGAAGTGATGAGTGGAGCAGGAGCCGCCAGATAACTGGTGTCCGGAGCAACCATTGTGAAGATGGATTACCATGGCGGCGGCGTCAACAGTTTTTCTATGAGCGCCAGCAGCAAGCGTGTTTGTGGCTTGTGGCGTGCGTGTGTCCTGTTAAAACTGCCAACTGATTATTATCACCTTCCAGCTGCCAGGACAGTCATTGACACCCATGGCTAGGGCTTCGGTTTAGCTTTCCACCTCCAGATGCACTTGGGAAAAAATTATTCAGAGAGTTTAGTATTTTCATTGGAAATTAAGGAGGGGACAAATTATTCAGAGACTTTTATTTTTGTTTGTGAAAATCTCAGGGAAAAGGATAAATTATTCTGAGTTTTTTGGTTTAGGAAAATTATAGTAAAAAATGTTTGTTAAATTAATTTCATTATTAATTCTTTTAGATATTTATTTATTATTTTATTTACTATTTATTACCTTATCTTGCCGTGTACTTTTCTGTGATCCCAAAAGTTACTACTTCTTGGACACTGCCACGCCCACCCGCCCACTGCCTTGCCAAGTGGCGCCCTCTAGTGTCTGTCACTGGCAGAAGTCGTTTGCTATTTGCTTTATTTCCCTTTCTCCAGCTCCCTTTTGATTTTCTTCAGCTTCTGCTTCTGCTTCGCCCACTTCATCTTGCTCTGCTTCTTGTGCTGCGGCAATGAATCGCAGTTTTTGATTAGCTACAGACAGATGACGGGGCCGCAGGACGAAGGACAAAGGACGAGGCAAGTGGAAATTATATAACCGAGGCAACCATTACGGAGTTTTTTCTCTGTACTTTTTTTTTGTGGGGGAGGAGAATATAATTCAGACGCTTTTAATTACTGTTCAGACTTGTTTGGTGTTCGAAATTGGTTTTATTTTTGGTCATTTGCCTCAAAATATTTAATTATAATTTATGTATAATATTTAAAATATATATTATATATTTTATTTAATTTATTTTTTTTTTCGTAAAACAAAAAAAAATACTTGATTTAAGCCAAATGTAATAATGCGGCATAAATTGCCAATCGATTTTGCATTCATTACGGAGGCGGAGGGCTGCTGTTGGGGGTTATAACAATTTACGACCTGCGACCCATAAAATATGCAGCTTATAAATTGCATAATTTATACAACAGGACCCTCGCACAGATAGACAAACAAAGTCAGATTGAGATATGGAGGCATTGTTAATTCATATATGAACTCGGTTCGGTCGGTTGGTTGCCGCTGCAGTCGCTGCTCCTGGGGCCGAAAGCGCTTACAAGTAAATAAATGCCAGAGATACAGGATACACAGAGAGAAATAAGATAATTATTGTAATTAAAATTTATTAAAATTTGGATTAGTTAAGCCTTGCAACAAATTTATAAAAGTTTTTATTGTATATATTTTAAACCACACAAAATACCTAACTATGTCTGAAATATCTCTTAAATTCCTTTCTTAACTTTATTTCTCTTGATGTATAGTTGCAATTACACATACATCTACACTTGCATCTACCGTTACATCTACCGTTGCAACGAAAGAGAGCTTAAGCGATATACAGAGATTTCCGCTTCGGTTTTCCGTTTTTCCTTTCGTTTTTATCGTATTTGTTTTCCGTTGCGGCGGCTGCTTTGCTGTTTTACTGTTTTCTGCCGTGTGCAGTGCTTGTAAAACCAATAAAATCAATTAAAAGGCACTCAACATGCAAACAATTATATGCAAATTTATTTATACACACACACACACACACACACACAAAAAAGAAAGAGAGAGAGAAGAAAGTCCTAGCTAGAAGCACGCCGGAAAAACCAAAAGGAAATCAGAGTGAATGTTAAAGCAGCCAGAAAATAACATTTTTATTTAGTTAGTACCTTTTTAGGGGGAAGTGGAAAAGGTAAATGGGAAAACGTACTTGTTTTAACTTCTAAAAAATATGTTTTAATATTTTAAAAATAATTAAGAAGGATTTTTTAAGGTTTTACATTTTTTTAGAAATATTTTTAAAGTGATTTGTTCTTGCAGAACCTTAAATTACGAATTTTCCTTCGAGTGAAATGTAAAATTGTTGTTACAAAAATTTAACAATGTTTCTCTCTCAGTCATGAGTTTAATGAATTTATTTTCTTATAAAAATTTATATAATCTTAGCCTTAAAATTACGTTTTTTCTTAGAAATTAAAAATACCGAAAGAATATATATATAAAAACTTAAGAAAACTTAAAACAAAGAACTCGAGGTATCTTAGAAATCCAAAATTAAACCACGTCCATCTCCCATGTAACATTTGCATATCCCATAAAAAACAAGCAACAAAAGGACCCGCTCCCTCTCTCGTCCTGCGAATAAATACACACAACAACAACGACTTCTAGGCAGCGTCTATAAAAAAAATATACAGGGAAAATCAAGCAAAATAGCAAAACAAACCAAAACAACAGGCAAAGCTGCTCAAAGGAAAAGGCAATACAAAGCAGAGGAGGGGAGGGGGAGAGCATAGAAAGGGACTCGCAAGGACCCGCAAGGACCAAACACAGTGTGAACCTGTTGCGCACACCACAACAAAACGCACGAACACGAAACAAATACCAGGAGCAACAGCAACAACAATAGCACTCACAAAGGTCCTGTGAAAAGCCAGGGAGATCCTGCGAAACGGAACGAAATGGAACAAGTGCAGCAAAGAGCGCGATTGAAAGCGAAATTGAACAGCAGATTGAAAGCAAGAGAGCGGCCAAAGAGAAATTGCCGCCTGCGCAGCCGCTGGGCGAAAGTAGAACAAGCGCCGGCAGAGACCGGGAAACGAATCTTAGCTGAAAGAATAAATACAACAAAATAAGTGATTTAATTAACAAAAAAAACTAATAAAATAACAGTAAAAATCGAAATAAAATCAATTATTTATTATATAATATTAATAGAAATTAATTATCAATTCCAAACCCTTAAAGAGAGAAAGTGGAACAGCTGAAACTGCTTGAAACAGTTGATAGCTCAATTTGTGACTCTGCGGGGGTGGGCGCAAGAAAGTGAGTGGGAGGGGTGTAAGAGCAAACAGACCTCGTTAGCGTTCCGTTGCCAATCATACCGCTGCACCACTCTCTCTCTTGCTCTTCTGTTCCATTTTTCATTGTTCCTGCCCGCTGTTGAGGCTTCGCTGGGCTCAGCGTTGAATTCGTAAATTCAGTTTGATTTGATATTTCGTTCGGTTCGGTAGGAAAGGACGAACAGGACTAGTATTTATCCTGTCTTCGTGTCAACAACGTGTTGCAGTCGCAAAAAAAAAGAAAATAAATTGCCGCATAACTAGCAAATAGTGCTTGATAACTAAGTAAACTAAATAAAAAACATAAATGGAATTTATTAAAAAAAACAGTGAAAATACTAAATAACAACAAGTTGTGACTGCCATTTAATTGGTACAATTTTATACAATTTATATCTTTAAAACAAGTGCTGAATTAAGGATAGAATTGGATAAACCAAGAAAATTTGCAGTGAAAAGTGTTAAATTAAAATTAATTAACAAAAAGAAACCTTAAAAACTTATTAAAATCTATTAAATAACAAGTAAGTTGCATTTCTGGTGTAGGTTTTACAAAAGCTGTCTACCTTTAAGACTGGGTCAAATTTATTTTAGCTTTTTGGGATTTAGGAAAATGTAAATTATGAGTGGAAATGAAGTGTTTATTCAAAACATTGACAAAAATTGTAATTTAAGAAAAACCGGGACTCCGTTTTATATATATAAAAAAAAAAACAAATAACCAAATGACTACATATAAATATAAAGTTTTAAGCTTTAAGACACCAAAAAATTCGTTTATATAAATAAAATAGTGTTTTTCTTACAAAAGAAAAAATAAAATAAACAAACAAAATTATGTTCATATCTTGTATTCTTCATTATTTTTTTTAAAGAAAGAGCAAATAAAAAACTAAAAATAAATAAGGAAAAATGTTAGTTTGGGACGAACATAGGAATTTTAAAATGTTTAAAGCTTATAAATATTATTTTTAAAACAAATAATATATGATGTGACTTGTAAAATCAGCATATAAAACATTTACGTTTATAATGGATATATATAAAAAATAAGAAAAGTTTTTAAAACCATTTTCATATTTCTTTTTCTTTATTTTCCGACACAAACCCAATCAAATAACAAGTGCCAGCCACATTTTCTCAACAACTAAATAAATCTCTGGGGTAATTAGGATTTTCCAAGTGGATTGTGAATTCAACAAAGCAAAACAAAACAATAGTTTCTATAGAAAAATTAATAGCAAACAATATTTCCCTGTGTGAAAATCGTGACTAAAAATTGTGACTTGAAAAACATCAAGACGAAAAGCTCAGCTCTCGAGTTTTGGTTCTTGATGGTTTTTAGAACAAAATCCTTGACGCTTGGCCCGCTCGCTCCCTGTGTGTGTATTTTTTGTGGGTCAATGGTTCCTAGCAGGACGAGGACGAAGGACGAGGCAGCACAGCCTGTACACACACACAATGAAAGCGTAGAGAAATCATGTTTCTATGATGTATACTTATGCGCATTTATACATATTGCCCTGCTAAGTGGGCTAAGCAAAGTCAGCGAGATTCCTTGGCGGAAACTTTTCGCAGGACGAAAGGCAGACAAACAGATAGACAAACAAACAAATAAATGGCGGCAGCAAACAAAGGCAAACAAATCCCTGGGACATTTTCTTGGAATTTAATTCAATAAATTGAATTCCAGAGCGGTTCCCAGGGTGTCCTTTTCCACTCTTGCTTTCATTCTCTTTTTTTCCTGCGTGTCCTGTCCCGGCTAAATGTCTGCAAATTAACTTTGCGAAAGGCAAAGGGAAGCAAAAAAAAAAAAAAAGAAGCGAATTCCATTTGACAAATCGCAAACGTAAATAGATCCGAAAAAAGCGAAATTTTTAAATGTAATTTAAGTTTGTGGAACTTCGACTTTGACTCCTTTTCCCACAGACAAATGGCGAGGACCAAAAGTTGGGCCAAGTTGCAAGATTTAACATTAACCTTGGGCCTGGTCTTAGCCCCCCCCTCCTCCTCCCTTTAACCCACAAAACCCCATGTAATGGACTCACAGCCAAAAACTAAATCACTGTCATTGTGGTCGGAGATTCGCATCCCGAAATACACAGACACCAGCAAGGACTCCGAGGGATATATGTGGATTTATATAGAGCAGAGATCCGGAAGGATAGAGTGAAGTGCTGCGGTGCGGTGCGGTGCGGGGAGGCGAAGAGGCAACTATTGTTAGGCAATGATTTGCAATTTGTTTGAAAAATGCATTCACAACCACAAAAGACAAACAATCTGAGAATAGAGGAAGAGGGGATGGGTGGACGGGAGGTAGTGGGTGGCAGGCTAAGCCCTGCACAAATAAAACCATAAACAAACGCACCGAGCCAAAGCCCAGATACAGATACAAATACGCTCTCTGGCTAGAGGGATGCACTTGGGGAAATATTCAGGGAAAAAGGGAGTTATTAAAATAAATTTAAGAATTTTTTCGGAGCCTTAAAGAACTCTAGCTAAGGTTCTAGGTTCTACAAGTTCAAGTTCCTTATATTCTTATATTCTTATAATTTTGTTAGATTTATTATCTTTGAAATTGTCAATAATTCATCTAAATTTCCCTCTCTGTATGCCTGCTGATGCGGCTGCAGTTTGCGGACTGTTGGATTGCTTTGGCTTTCAGCTGGGAAAAGGGAAAGCTGACAGGGAGCCTGGCAAGTGAAGTGGCAGAGGGACAGAGTTCCGGGATATATATACTTAGTATATATCTATATATATATATATAGAATGTGCAGCCACAAACCGTCAATTGCCGGGCAACCAAATGTCCGCCTTTCCACTTCAAGATACCCCAAACCCCTTGCCTTTCCCGTTCCCCACCAGAATCCAGCATTCAGCCTCATCAGCAATCCGCGACAATTCTTGGCAAACTACTTTCCAGGGTGCTCCACTTTCTCTCTGCTCCTCCACTCTCCATTCTCTACTTTCTAGTCTACGTCCTCCTCGGGCTGGTGAAGCACTCCATCAGGAGGCAATTTCATATGCGGAGCTCCTTTCCCTGCACTGAACTGCATACAATTACAAGCGAGCTGCAAAATGTGCACCAAAGTATCTGCCAGATACTTAATAGCAGCAGAAGCAGCGACAGAGCAGTAGCTGCAAGATGCAGATGCAGATGCAGGAGCTACAGCCACAGCTACAGATGCAGCACGAAATTGCCCGGAATGCCAAACGAATTCATATTTGATGTATGAGCCAGGACCAGAGCCAGAGCCAGAGCCAGCAGCTAAGGGATGTTCAAAGGAAATGCCAAATGAGATGTTTAAGCATATTTTGTGTGCAAAAGGGAGAGCACAGTAAACTCCGTTTGAAAAGAGGTGGGAGAGGTGGGGAGGATGGGAAAAGTCCCGAAATCGTGTAAGCTAGAGGGGAAAATATCCAGAAAAATGAATGGAGGTTTAAGGTAGTCAAGTCCTTAAGGATGGAGGGATTAGTTTTAGTATTTTCAACTAAGATATTGATTGATTGCGTGAGGAATCAGCTAAGATGGGACTAAAAATACAATTAAATTAAGAAACTAATATATTACAGACATTTAGGTTTATTTTCCTTTTCCTTATAAATCATAGGAAAAATCTCTCTCAAAGTATTCCAATAGTCCACCTTGAATCCACCTATATATAACGTGTTATTCTGGGATCCTGGGTAACCTTCTCTCAGGGACAACTTCTCGCGATGATTGCTCTCTGCCTGGCTGCCTTCCTGGCTGCCAATTAACATGTCAAGTCGAGTGTCGGAAGTTGTTGGTTTTCGGCTCGCGAAAGGCTTTTCCTGGTAGCAAGTTTTCCACGCGATTGGCCGCAACATTCCCGGACACGTGTTCCCCGGTAGTTGGCAACTTTTGCTTTAAATCAATTAAAGAGAAAGGCTGGAAAGGTGGAAAATGACCGATCCCAAGCAATTTGCGGCACATGCTCGTATCTGGGGGAATCTCGGAGTCGCAGGACTCTCTCGAATGAAATGTCACGCAAGCAAATGAAATGCGAGACAGGAGGCGGCGTCGGCGTCGGCGGAGGCAGGATCCAGTGCCATTTGCCTGGAGGGAGCGTCAGGAAGCTATTAAATCTACATAAAATTGTAGAAATGTGTGGCATGTTGAGCAATTACAACTCAATGTTGGCTGTGCAAGGGGTTCCTGCTTTCGGGGACGCCAGACGACGCACCTTTCGGCTGACATGCTCATCTGAATGCAAAGCTCAGCCATGTTTCACTGGTTTTCCATCCCCTTCTCCTATATGAGGGGGATATATAGTTTTGTTCTCGTTGTTGTGTGCGGCTCGAGAGCCGTTAGGAAATTGCACTTGCCATTCCCTCGGCCACGCCCCCCTTCGCTCCCTTCACCCCCTTCGCCATTTCTCCAGCGACGAAGTGGGCGTGTGAAAAAAGAATTAAAGTCAAGTGAGCGCACTGAGACTGAATACATAAAAGATGGCGGGAAAGCTGTGCACTGAGAGAAAAGAAAAGGGTTGAGAAAAGGATCAATAGATGCTGAGATGTGAAGGAAGGAAGTATTTAAGAAATTTTAATTTAAGACTTTATGTTAAAAATGATTGAAAAACTATTGCCGAAATTCCATATTGCTTATTATAAGTTTTTTTAAAGTCATTACATTTAATCCTTAACATTAACAGACCCACAGCTCTCCCCTTTTGTCCCAGTGCACCCCTTGTCATGGAAAATGGTAGGGAAAACTCGGAGGAGGCAGTGAAAAGGCATTCATCTGGTGGGCGTGACTGCATGCACAACAACAATAATACAAAACTACGAGAAAAAGAGGCGGCGGGAAACCAACATCAACGTCAACGCCGAAGAAAAGCCGGAAAAATGTCCAAGTTGTTTGGCCAGGCCACAACGTAAAAGGGATAAAAGGGGAAATTCCCGCCTGCACTCTACACTAGCTATTTGGCCATTTTTTGTTGTTGTCCTTTTGTTTTTTTTCCGTCCGAGAAAAGGTATAATTTTCGGCGCGACATTTGACGCGACCAGGGGCCAGCATTCACCGCCGCGAAAATGAAATATACAAAAGTTTTGGCCATTTCTTTTCGGCCGTCCTGAAGATCCTAATCGCCCTTGGCCTGAACGGGCAATTATTTGGGCATTTATCAAAGATTTCATTTTGGAGTTGGGTTCGGGGAGCCAGCAAGGTGACAGATTGTTTAAGATTATTCAAATGGGAAATGTAGTTAGCTGGGAAAATGTAAAGGAAAACTCCATTGCGACAAAGAGAGTTGAAAGGTCGATAATATTATATTTCACAGAGACAGAGACTCCTCAGGTAAATCTCAAGGGAAACAAAGTTTAAGTGAAGCTTGAGACATTTCTAAATTGAATTTTTAATTGAAAGAGAAATTTCAGTTTAAGAATAATGTATAATAAAATACAACAAAATACTTTTAAGAATCAGTCACCTTTAAGCCACCTTTTAAGCATGATTTTTCCTTTTTCTATACTCAAAAATCCCAACCAATTTCCACACACACAC